AGAAGGTTTTTGCTCATCTCCTTCCACTTACTATCCAGGTAAAGTCAAGGGCCGCTTCACCCTCTCCAGGGATGATTCCCGCAGCCAGCTGTATCTGCAAATGAACAATCTCAAACTGGAGGACACAACTGACTATTACTGCTCAACTTGCACAGTGAGAAGAAGTGAATCTGACGCTGAGCAAAAACCTTCTCAGAGCAGCTCTGAAAATTGAGTTAGAATAGAATAGAGTAGAATAGAATAGCGTTGAGTAGAGTAGAGCAGAGCAGAGCAGAGCAGAGCAGAGCACAGTAGAATAGAATAGAATAGAATAGAATAACAGAGTTGGAAGGGACCTTGGAGGTGTTCTAGTCCAATCCCTGCTTAGGCAGGAAATCCTACGCAACTTCAGACAAATGGTTATCCAACATCTTCTTAAAAAACTTCCAGTGTTTGAGCATTCACAACTTCTGGAGGCAAGATGTTTTAAGTACGAGGCGAGGCTTGAGGTAAAATCGAAATACTTTATTTAACAAGTCTGGAACAGACAACAGTTCAGAACTTGTGCACTGGACAGCGCTGCCTGACAGCTATTTATATAGATAGCTGTCAGGCAGCCAGCCAATGGGAGAGGAGCAAATCTCCCACCGGCAGCCAATGGCACCTGGGCCAATCAGGTTGCAGCGGGTTGTGGCTTGGCTGCCGGCTGCATCAGGACGCAACACCCCTTCCCCCCCCGATGGCGTATGCGTAGTCGTCCAGTTATTTTGGCTGACTGCGCAAGCGCTGGGACCTCCTTAGTTCGGGTGTGGTCGCCGATGAGGACGGTCGTGGAGGAGCTCTGTCTGGGAGGTGGAGCGGAACTCCAGGGCCAGCCCCTAGCCTCGTGCCGAAGTTGGCAGGCAAGTCAGCGGTCGCGGTGGCTGGTGGTGGGAGGCCGCCTAGGGGTGTGCGCCGTGGTGCCTGCGGTTGTGGTTGGAGGCTAGAGTCAGGCGGAGAGGCCGGAGCAGTGAGGCCCTGTGGTCCGGGCAGCTGGGCCATTGTGCGGTGGCGCAACTGGTCTATATGGCGCCGCCAAATTCGTCTGTCGCCAAGTTGGACCCTGTAGGAACAGGGTCCCGTTTGTTCCTGAATCATGGCTGGGACCCACTTCGGCTTGCCTGAGTAATTTGGGGCATAGATCTCATCCCCCACACAGAAAGCCCTGGGGGTGGCCTCCAGGGAAGAGGAGAGGGGAGAGAAGTGGGGGTGCAGCTGGTCCAGGGTGGTGCGGAGGCGGCGGCCCATGAGAACCTCGGCTGTGGATTTGCCGGTGGCAGAACAGGGGGTGGAGTGCTGGGCTCGTAGGTAGGTGCACAGGCGGGCCGGCCAGGGCAAGGGGCTTAGGCGGGCCAGGCTTTCCTTGGCGGAGAGAACAGTGCGCTCCACCATGCCATTGCTGGCGGGATGGTAGGGAGCCACCGGGGCATGGCGGATTCCAGGCTGGCGAAGTATAGGTGGAATTCAGCGGAGGTGAATTGGGGGCCGTTGTCGGTCACCAATGTGTCAGGGAGGCCGTGGGTGGAGAAAAGGCACTCCAGGGTTCCCCCGCCAGGATGCCAAGGAGGGGCTTATGGTCTGTTAGCAGGGTGAAGGGGCGGCTGTAGAGATAGTGATGGAATCGCTTCACTTCAGCTACGACCGCAAGAGCTTCCTTGTCCAGGTGGCTGTAATTCTGTTCAGCCCTTGACAAGTGCGCAAGTAATAGGCGATGGGTGCCTCAGAGCCATCTGGGAAGGAGTGGCTCAAAACAGCACCCACGCCATAAGGGGAGGTATCGCAGGCGAGGAGGAGGGGTAGGCGCTCATTGTACTGCGTGAGCACAGGGGCAGCTGTCAGAAGGTATTTGACAGCCACGAGTGCATGCGCGTCATGGCTGGTCCAGGCCCAGGGGGTGCATGCGCGTCATGGCTGGTCCAGGCCCAGGGGGTGCATGCGCGTCATGGCTGGTCCAGGCCCAGGGGGCGGAAGAATCCAAGAGGCAGTGAAGGGGCTCCTCCACCAAAGCCTTATGGGGAATGAAGGAGGTGTAAATGTTTAAGAGCCACAGAAAGACTTGTAACTCCGCCTTGTTAGAAGGGGTGGAGGCATTGGTGATGACTTCCATTTTAGCGGGCAAGGGGTGGATGCCTTGGGCATCCATGCAGAACCCGAGGAAATCAACGGAGGGAACCCCAAGGCAGCATTTGGAGCGCTTCAGGTGGAGACCTGAGGCGCAGAAACGGGGGAGGACAGCCCGTAGAGTGGAGATGAGTCCTGATTGGTCCGGAGCAGCAATCAGGACATCATCGAAGTATGGCATCATGCCAGGGATTCCATGGAGCAGGTGCTCCATGAGTCCCTGGAAAAGGCCGGGGGCAACGCTGATACTGAACTGGAGGCGTGTACAGCGGAATGCCCCCGGTGTGTGACGATTTTCTGGGCGGTGGCACTGGCGTCGTCCACAGGCAGCTGCTGATACACTTGGGCCAGGTCCAATTTTGCAAAAATCTTGGCCTGGCCCCAGGAATGCAGCACATGCTGGACGACGGGGACTGGGTAGGGGTGGGCTTGTAGTGCCTTATTGACAGTGGCCTTGTAGTTGGCACAGACCCTCAGGGAGCCGTCTGACTTACGGGGTAGTACAATAGGGGTCTCCCAAGGGGCGTGGTCCACGGGCTCGAGGATGCCTTGGGAGATGAGCTTGTCAAGCTCAGCATCCACCTTAGCCCGCAGCACCAATGGCACTCTGCGGGTTTTGAGACGAATGGGGGCCACCAGGGGGTTGAGGTTTAAGGAGATTGGAGTCCCTTTATAACAACCCAGGGCGTCGCTGAAGACATCAGCGAAGTCGGACACTAGCAGGTCGATGTCAGAAGCCAGCCACAGGGAGTTAACACCAGCAATGGACAACTCGAAGGCCCGGAACCAGTCAAGCCCCAGGAGAGAGGTCAAGGTGTTTCTGACCACTATGAGGGGCAAGGGACCATGGAACTGCCCATACTGGACCGGAAGCGTGAGGCACCCCAGGACAGGAATAGGAGACCCCTGGTAGTCCCGGAGGAGGCAAGGGGAAGAAGACAGTTATTTCCGTGTGAAGTGGGGGAAAAGTCGTTTTAGGGTGTCCCAGGAAACGATGGTTCTGGAGGAGCCGGTGTCAAGCTCCAAGTGGCAAGGGTGGCCAGCCAGCAAGACACAGAGGTGCATCTTACCCCGGCCACCTGAAGTGGTAGAAGCAGCATCCATCAACCAGTCGGAAGGAGACCCCTCAGGCTCAGACATGGCGTAGCAGCGGGAAGCAGGAGATGGCACGGAGGCAGGACGGCGGCCGGCAGGAGCTCTGGTGGCCCGCGGAACCGAAGCAGGGGAGCGGCAGATGGCGGCTATGTGGCCCTTCTTCCTGCATTGGCGGCAGAGTGCGGTCCGGAACCAGCAGGAGGAATGCTGGTGAGGGCCACCACAGCTGAGGCAGGCTCTGGCGTCCTTGAACGAGAGAGAGCGGAGCCAATCAATGGAGGCATCGAAATCAGACCGAGGCTCTTTGTGGGACACCTGGCACTGGAAGGACGACGGAGGCAGAGACACCGTGACAGAGGGCGGAAACCGGCAAAGGTCTGGCATCGACTGGCTGGCCATTTCGTACGCCTGGCCTCATCCATGGCGATTTTCATGGACAACTCGGACAGGGACAGAATACGCCGATGAAGATTCAGGTCAAGGAGACCGTAAATGAATTGCTCCAGAAGAGCATCGTCCAGGTCCAGAAACTCATAGTCCATGGCGGTGGTGTGCAAGGCCGCCACATATTGTGTGATGGACTGACCCTCCCACTGAATACAACGACGGAAGTGCTGTTGTCTAGCATAGCGGGAGGGAGCCGGCTCATAATGGACCTTGAGGCGGGACAGGAGGACGTCGAATAGAATAGCATACAACGGCGAAGGAGCAGAGAGGGCGTGGGCGGTGGCAAACATCTCCGCCCCACAGTAGTGAAGTAACACTCCCTTCTTGCGCCCCTCAGGCAGGTCTGTGAGCCCGTGATCTTGGAGGAAAATTTCGAAACGCTCCATGAAGGCATCCCAACTCTCCACCTCAGGCCGGAAAGGAGCGAAGGAAGAAGCATAGCAATGGCGGAATATGTACAGGTTGGGTGTCGCTCATCCTCGTCGCCAGGTTTTAAGTACGAGGCATGAGGTAAAATCGAAGAACTTTATTTAACAGGTCTGGAACAGACAACAGTTCAGAACTCGCGCGCCGGACAGCGCCGCCTGACAGCTATTTATATGGATAGCTGTCAGGCGGCCAGCCAATAGGAGAGGCGCAAATCTCCCGCCAGCAGCCAACCGCGCCTGGGCCAATCAGGTTGCAGCGGGGCGTGGCTTGGCTGCCGGCTGCGTCAGGAGGACACAACAAGATGTTCCAATAATTGATTGCTCTAACTGTCAGGAAATGTCTCCATAGTTCTATGTTGCTTCTCTCTTTGATTATTTAGTTGCAGAAAGTTTAATTGGTCTACTGGAAGTGAGAAACAGCTGACAAATCTCCATAGTGATATGTGGAATCTCAGAATTGATCTTGGAAGAAGAAGTGGGGACTCTGTTTAGCGAATCTCAGAGCAGTATTGAATTAGAATAAAATAACAGATTTGGAAGAGACCTTGGAGGTCTTCTAGTCCAACCCCTTGCTTAGGCAGGAAATCCTACACCACTTCAGACAAACGGTTATCCAACACCTTCTTAAAGACTTACAGAGTTGGAGCATTCACAACTTCTGGAGGCAAGTGGTTCCACTGGTTAATTGTCCTCACTGTG